TGAAGTACTTGCTTGTTCTTGCCTTGGACCATCTTGTTCACCCTCATCCATGTGATCATCTTGTGCAAAGAAAGATCCACCATAATGATTGTTCCCATCTTCTTGGTTAGTGATATCCTTCGTATCTATGTACAAATCCACACTTGTCATTGGCTCAAGGTGGTAGATGATCCCAACATGCGAATCAGTCTTTATCTTCATGGTGCGCTTTACACCGTGAGTCATAAATATTAACGAAATGTGGAGTTTCCTAGCTATTTCAAGAATCTAACCGAACGTCAAACAAATCAAACCAAGCAACTCATCATATGACAACCTACTATCAATAACAAGACTGTCATTCGGCTTATTCTCTAATGTGTTCACTACACCATTCTCCATCACATACTTGCTTTTATGAAACAATAAGTATGTATGGGCCGTGTACGGACATTTTAACTGTTTATTAAGGGACAAAAAATTCGTTAACTATATTATTCGTAATCCCTAAACCATATCAATTTTTTATCCAAACGAAATCCACCAAAATTCATCAAATTAATCTCAATCAAATGTAAACTAACAACCTTTCTCACCTAATAACTCAACAACATCTACAATATACACATCACATTCATAATTCAACCAAATCAAAATCATAATCCCTAAACCCTATCAATTTTTCATATAAACACAATTCATCCAAATTCATTAAATTAACCTCAATCAAGTCTTAAAACAACAACAATCCTAACCTATAAACTCAACAACAACATCTACATTCCCATATTACATTCATAACCATCAATGCTAAACCCTACCAATCTTCCATCTTCAAAACAATATAACTACACAATATAACAACTAAAAAACATTGATTTAATGATTAAGCTCGTTAGAATAATGATTCTTGTTGCATTTAGCGGTAATGTGCATCCAAGAGCCTAAAGAACTCCGGCCACAACCTTCCTTAACTCTCAAAATTTGAAAAATCTGATATGAAGGGAGGCTACAACTTTTTCTTTATATATCACGCTTAATTTGGATTTCCCAAATCCGAGAGTAACTATTTATAAGTGACCTCGGATTATCCAAATCCGAATGTACGTCACCTTATCCGATCCGATTTAAAACATCCAACAACCTTACCCACAAGGACGAATTACCCTTAAACCGAAAGGAAGCCCTCGGATTTGGAAAATTCGAAACCTAATCTTAAACCCTAGAACTTGGATTTGGCAAAATCCGAAATCACTGTTCCAAATTTTGAATTTGTCCGCCATTTTTTATACATTTTTTGGAATATTAAATTTTAAAAGTTTTCGGATTTCGCAAATTCGAGATCACTGTTCACCTGTTGACGCTATTTTCAATATTTTGCAAAATAACGAAAATATATAATTTTTTATTATATTTTATTACTTCGGATTTGGGAAATCCAAAAGTCCGATAACATAGACTCTCGGATTTGTCAAATCCGGGACAACTACTTATGTCCACAAAAAAAAAAAGTAAAAAAAATTTTTCCAAATCAATTTTTTTGAATTTTTTTGACCGAAGCACCCAATTTCTTGAAGACTGTGAGGGGAAGTGGTTTTTACAGCAAAAACTCAGAGATGCTTAGAGAACTCAAGGAGAGTGCTCAAATAGTGGAAAGACTATGTTGCTGTGTAGAAATATTGTGAAGAAAAAATAATCCAGAATTTTGGCTATACCTTCATATTCCTTGATTAAATTAGCTTTCTTGTATAGACTCATTGTCGATAGATCATTTTGTATATAAGGAGACTTAGCCATGTAAATTTGCAAGATAATGGATACAAGTATACAACCTCTTACTCGTATTATTATGGTATCTACAGTTCTCATTATACCGATTGGTGAAATCACATGTGAAACAGCAGATTGACATTCTTTTCTTTGGTACTTGGGAGGTTTTACTACATGAGCTTAATTAGATAATCCTTTCGTTCTAAAATAATTACTCAGTTTGGATTTTTATTTTTAGTATAAAGTAAATTAAAAATAATAATTTCAACTGTGCAATAACTTAAGGATAAAGAGAGTATTTTAATAAATTGTGTAAGTTAATTGTTTGATTACTTTGATTAATTTGGCGGCATGAACATAAGTGTATGGGAATCAATAACGTATGGTGGATGATTACAGTATCTTTGTATTTATACTAAAATTTTAAACTTGTTGTGGATACTAGAGACTATAAATTACATTTTGATAGAATCGCCGGCCAATCTTATTCATGGGATTAATTGTAAGGCATACTAAACCAGAAAATCAAACATAAAAGTGGGCCAATGAAGTGGATTTGAAAATAAGAACTAGTACAAAAACTATACTTTACTTTTGAAAGGTGCTCATTTTTCTTAGGACCTCAAATAAAGTTGAATAAAAAAAATTTGTTACTGCATTATTGATGATATTATGATCAAATCTGATAGCGATCACAACTGATTGGACAACAAATAATTGTTACAAAAAAAATGAAAAAAAGAAAAAGTAAGGAAAAAACACGATTGGCTAAAAGCAGTTTGGTTCATCAGCTAAGAAAGTAGTTTGGTTCATCAACCAAGCAGCTATAAAAACAAAGAAAGCTATGTATATTAATAAGAAGTTATTTTTCATGTGTTCAGTCAAAATGTATAGTAAAAAATTAACTCTTAACCTTTTGTATTAATAATTTTATAATTTTATTTAAAAATTAAAAAAATCTCAATTAAATAGATTCGTGAGGTTAAACGGAAGATAAGATTAGTTATATCCTCTATGCCCCGAAATTATTATTCAGTCAGGATTTTTACTTTTTAGTTCATTTTGTACAAAAAATAAAAATTCAAATTGGACAATAATTTGGAATGGCGGGAGTGTAAGATTTTGTTTATTTTTTAAAATGATGGTGTTTATATGAAGTACAAAGACTCATTTTTGGTTCTCAAATGAGGTACTGGTCTAGTGGTAAAACTACCATTGCTCTCAAGAGTATGTCACGAGTTCAAACCTCCCACTCCAATAAGTGTGAGGGGTACCTCTAATCTTGCCCATTGTTATGGCAAACCCGCACATGAATCCTTGATAAATTCACACATAAATCTTTGATTTCACACCTAGGCTTGCGTAGGGTGGTTCACTTCTGGGCATGCCTAGGGAGGTTTACCTTCTACTATGGTTTACATGCTATTGTAGTGGATGTGGGATTCACACATAAATCTTTGATTTCACACCTAGGCTTGCGTAGGGTGGTTCACTTCTGGGCATGCCTAGGGAGGTTTACCTTCTATTATGATTTACAGGCTATTGTAGTGGATGTGGGTTTATCGTCTCTGGTGGAGTTCCGGGCGTTCCATATATATATATATATATATATATATATATATATATATATATATATACCAATTTTAATCAATTAAGTGGAACTTTTGGACAACTGACAGTCAATTTTTTTCTGTTAAATCTTTAATTTTTGATTTCTTTTTTACTGAATTGGGGCTCACTATTCTGACTCAGCAACAAATTTTCTTTTTTATTTATCTTTTATCAAAATTTATTTAATATAATAATAATGATGAAAAAATTGATCGTTGGGCCCACAAACCTTTGACACAACAATTTTTTGCAGGATTGCTCATTTTTGTTTATTCATTTTGGAAATGTGACGTGACATATGGAGTTGAAAGTTTGTAATAATGCAGAGTCATTCATCCATTCGATTCCACAGTCCTAGCTGTTGACTCTTTCTTTTGTTTTTTTTTTCCATAGCTTTGAGATATGGTGGAGTTTGAATCCATTTTGGCTGTGAATATCGATGGGATTCGACAGAACCTTAAGTTGTTGATTACTGAATGGAACAAGTATATTCAGATGAAAAAATCAGGAGTGGAACTATGGTCTGAACCCAGTTCAAATTACGATCAGCTGTCAATTCTTTTTTTTTTTTTCATATTTGCAGGATGTCCACCGTTTTTCATATTTGTAGGATGTCCACCGGCAACAGTAACTAATCCCCCTTGCCGAATTGTAGGCACCTCGATAAGTGAGACAGCTTGCAGGATGTCCCCGGCAACAGTAACTAATCCCCCTCGTTGAATTGTAAGTACCTTGATAGGTGAGACAGCTGGCCAAAGTATTTACAGTTTGTCAAAGTCACATTGGGCTCCCATCTCAAAACCAATTGGCAATGAGTAGGGTGGCCTTTAACACTTATAAACAGGTGACAGATCTTTCACCACACCAATGTGGGATTCTTTTATCCCAACACCCTCCCTCAAACCCAATGGCGTATTTGACCCATTAGGGTTGCACAACACAACATAATTCATCAAATGGGGTATTTGGCCCATTGGGGTTGCACAACACAACATAATTCACCAGATATACTATTGGGTCAGTCAACAACTCCGGATATAATGTCCGGTCAGTACACAAGCCCACCCGTGTGCACGGAAGCGATTGACGCAAGTCCACGACACACGGGTCCATAGTTATCACAAGTCCACAGATCGTGGGCTCTGATACCATGTCAAAGTCACCTTGGGCTCCCATCTCAAAACCAATTGGCAATGAGTGGGGTGGCCTTTGGCACTTATAAACAGGTAACAGATCCGTCACGACACCGATGTGATTCTTTTATCCCAACACCCTCCCTCAAGCCCAATGGGGTATTTGGCCCATTGGGGTTGGCACAACACAACATAATTCACCATAACCCATTGGGGTTGGCACAACACAACATAATTCACCAGATATACTGCCGGATCAGTCAACAAGCCCGTACACACGGGTACATACTCCAAAGATACTGTCGGATCAGTAACAAGCCCACCCATGTGCACGGAAGCGATTGACGCAAGTCCACGACACACGGGTCCATAGTTATCACAGGTCCACAGATCGTGGGCTCTGATATCATGTCAAAGTCACATTTGGCTCCCATCTCAAAACCAATTAGCAACGAGTGGGGTGACCTTTGACACTTATAAACAGGTGACAGATACTTCACGACACCGATGTGGAATTCTTTTATCCTAACAAGATTGCTCTATGCCCATAGCGAAGTTCAAACCCTTGACCTATCGTTAAGGGTTGAAGAGTCCCTTCCACTCCACCACAACCACTTTAGTTTGTCAGTTTTAATCTCTGAAAACGCCAATCAACTCTCTATGGATTGGCTGTTCTTGGACTTGTTTGTAAAATCCATGTCTTTCGGTACCGATTCTTCGAGCTTGTTGCAGCTAAGAATATCGGTGGTGGTCAAGAAAATTGAACCTGTGGCAGATGAGATATTCAGGGACACTAATCAATATGAGAACTACTGCCTCAAAGGGGCTCAGGAAATGCTCAGCTTGTTCCGTGACTGCCAACGGAAAACCGATGCGGTTTTCAAGGCAGAAACTCAAGAAGCCCTCAGGTATTTGTCTAAATTAAGAATTCAGGCGCGTTCCCCTTATGTCTTTTTAGACAAGTTTGTCCCTTCTGTAGGAAGGATTTTGCAGTCCCTTCAAGTTGTGGGTGAAGGTATTCTTACAGAAAAGCTGTCCTTCCTCCGCCGCGAGTTGCTATGGATTCACAGATACCTGGATGGTGTACAACAAGGTATCATTAGCCCTGATGTTCTTTGTCATCCTGAAATTGATGCTTTTCTTACTCATGTTGCATCTGTTGTTCAGAGAATTACCGTTAGGTCTTGTAGTTTCTGGTAGAATAGAAAACACCCTAGAATTCCATTTGTTATGGCAAATAGACTTGTAGATTTGCATAAGGAGACTGATCCTGCAAACCCAGAGTTCCTAAAGTTGAATCTCAGGTTCTTAAAGTCTGTGTACAAAATCAACTCTAAATGAAATACAAAGCCAATTTGGTAACTATCTTCTCATTTGGAAAGATGATAAAGAAGATCTTAAGAAGGAGCTGTTGTCCCTAGTAACCATTTTCATTAATAGTACCATTAAGGCCAGCCAAGAGGATGTGCACCACTTTTTTGCAGAGATTTCGGCTCTTCTGGCAGAGGCAGCGTTTTCCCATCGTTTGGTTCGCGCTGCTGCTGCTTTGCCATCTTGTTCCGAGCTGCTAACAAAAATCTGTCTCCTCAAGGCAGAGCTTTTGCTCAAACACCAACTCAACATTTGCACTTCCTCCATGCTTTTCAGCGGTGACCAGTTTTACAAAGTCGATATGATCCTCATCAACCTGAAAGCATTTAACAAAGATTTTTGTCAGCAAGGGAACACAAAATATGTGAATCAGTGTTTGTCACTCATTGACGCATTGGCTCATGAAATAGAATCCCATCAGATTTCACTTCATTCCAAGAGGAGTAGTAGTTCTATGGTACAACACCCGCTTCTGCAGTTGCTTTTTAAGATGGTCTTTTTCAAGACAGAGTCATTTTTAACAGTACTATCAAGTGGTAGTTGCGCTTTCAGGGCTAATAAGGTGGATCAAATTCATCCCTCGTTAAGGATCTCACATATTTCAATAGACTAGTGAAAACCAAGCTGGCCAGGACCTCATCAGAAGAAGAAACCATCATCATGCAACTTAAGGCTGTTGCTAGGGAGACAACACTTCTCTCTTATTCATTCCTCCCGGAGAAGGAGAAATTCGAGAAAGTAAAGGATTCATTGCCTAGGTTGCTGAATAAAGTAAAGATAATCAAGGCTAAGCTCCGGAACATAAGTGAGGAATTTTCTCAATCTATCTTCCCCAAGACCTCAGTACTGCAGTTCTTTGATTTTCTAGTCAGAAACATTAAGGATGTTGTGAAACACGATCCTGAGTCAATCACACAAGTCAAGCATCATTTCGAGGAAGTCCTGCTGTATCTGGAGTCTTTGAAATCTTTCCTTGTGACGAAACTAAAGGATCCGGTTGGAGCATTCGATGATCTTAGAAATCACATTGTAGATTTGGCATATAAACTGGAATATGTTGTTGAGACAATTGAGATTGATGGCCATTTCCAGCAATCAATATGGTTATATGATCTGCTGGAGAATATAAGAAATGTTGATCAACTAGTCCAAGAAATCCACAAAATGTCCTCTCCTGTCAAAGTAGAAAATCTCCCAAGGATTTCATCCCGGGTGTTATCAAGAAATACCACAATAGAAACCTCAGAAATGCTTGTTGATCTTGTTGACCAAGAAAACTTATAGTTAATCGCCTCACCAGAGGGCCCTCACACCGGGATATTGTTTCAATTGTTGGCATGCCTGGTATTGGTAAGACAACTCTGACTAGAAAAGTGTACAACAATCTGAATGTGGTATGCTATTTTCATCGTCATGCATGGTGGACTGTTTCACAAACATACTCCAAAAGGGAATCGTTGGTTGAACTGTTAAGTCATATTGCTGTGCTTCCTGATGATATCAGTAGACTGAGTGATGATGACCTCATGGCAAAATTACGTCGTTACTTGTTGGGAAACAAGTATCTAATTGTTATGGATAATCTATGGGACACTGAAGTTTGGGATGATTTGATAAATTGTTTTCCGGATGGCAGCAAAGGAAGTAGTGATAACTAGTCGTCACCAGGATGTGGTTTTAGAAATCAAACCTGACAGCAATCCACATCGTATTCGTCCATTTTCTGATGTTGAAAGTTGGAAATTGTTACAACACAAGATTTTTAAAGGTGCGGATTGTCCAGATGAATTGTTGGCAGTTGGGATGGAGATTGCTCATCTTTGTCAGGGTTTGCCACTTGCAGTTGTTGCAATAGCTGGTCCTCCAAAAGTTAGAAAAGAGCAAGGATTCATGGAAAAGAATATCAATAAACTTGAGCTCAGAGATAATCAGCAATCCAGAAAATCGCTGCAAGGAAATTTTGGAAATGAGCTATAAGCACTTGCCTGAACATCTGAAAGCATGCTTTATTTATTTTGGAGCTTTTCTTGAGGACAAAGATATTCTTGTGAGCAAGTTAATACGCCTCTGGATGGCGGAAGGTTTCATACAGGAAACCGAGTCAAAGAGCTCAGAGGAGGTAGCAGAGGATTACCTGATGGAGCTGATTAACAGAAGCCTAGTGAACATCTCCCAAACAAAATCTAATGGAATGGTGAAAGCATGTCGTCTTCATGATCTGTTTGTGATCTGTGTCAACTAAAAGCATATGAAGAGAAATTCCATCACCCTGTGACAAAGAAGGATAAACCGTATGCATTTTTTCCTGATCCAGAATATGATATGGAGCTTGAGAATCTTTTAGCTCCTATTATATATGAAAGCTACAGATTGAGCTTTTATGTGAAGCGGCCGCATTTTATTAATTACCGACCTTCTGGCCCTACAGCTCGATCCTTGATGTTCTTTGCATCTTCTGATTCAGAACCTAAATGTCCATATGATATCTCCTTTATTTGCCACAACTTCAAATTACTTCGGGTTTTGGATCTGGAGTCTATCATGGCAATCAGCTTTCCCCTGGAAATAGGACTAATGGTTCAGCTGAGATATCTAGCTGTCAGTGATTATATGCAATCACTTCCACCATCGATATCCAACTTGTGGAAACTTGAAACATTGGTTGTGAAGGGATCAAGAGGCAAGGTCATCTTACCAGACACTATTTGGAGTATGAGAACATTGAGGCATCTTCATGTGAATAATCATGTCCTTTTCAACTTGCAAAATCTTAATGATGGTGCAGGAAATTTGATAAATTTGGTCAGCTTTTCCACCCCAGCACTGTCCTGCAGGTATGATAGATGGAGGATATTAAAGAGGTTGCCTAACCTCCGCAAATTGAGATGCATATTTTGGCAGTCAGGGGACTCTTCCGAAAAAAGCAGTGAATTCATACGATGGAGCGTCTTAACTCTTTTGGAGTCACTAAAGATTATTTGCTAGGGTGGAGCTCCACATTGAAGAGATTTTCTCCTCCCACAAAACTTCATGTTGGTGGCTTTGAGATGCAGAGATGGCACTTGCAGGAAGAGGAATTTAAGGAACTCAAGTTCTTGGAATTAGACACCATGAACCTTGCTGAATGGGATGCCTCTTGTGATGAACTTCTTCTAAGCCTAGAAAGACTAATATTGTGCAATTGCAAGGATTCCATCTGATTTCGCCTGTATTCAGACACTGCAAAAGGTTGAAGTGCATTGGTGCAGGCAATCTGTGGACGCATCAGCAGAAGCAAATTGTGGATGCAAGAGATGACATAAAAGTCATTATCAGTCTCTTATATCTGAAATCAGAAGCAGGGCTATTATGAACCAATTTCGCAGTAAGTTATTTGCATTTTTCTGCAGCTTTATCAATCTTTTCACGAAGCATTTATGACATATGACTAGCTGAAATAACTACCTAGTTCATCATAGTTTGGGTCACAATTTAAACTAAAACAATGTACTGATTCAATTCTTGTTTTTCCAAGTGGAGCTTTATGCGGTTTGTTTCATATCATCTCGGTTGCCAACCAACCAATAATTCCACCCATAAGACTTCTTGGCTAATTTGAAAAAAATTTACTAAATACATAGACATGTTACAAACTATTAACAAAACAAGAAAACAGTTCTGACACTGAATAACCTTTGTGATTGTGATTCTTTTTTGGTTATGATTATATTTTCTTCCTTCCTTGCAGCTCCCCCTGGTGCAACTGATGCTGGGAGTAAAAAAAAAAAAAAAAATTAAAAAAAAGGACTGCCTTTTCACCCTCTGAATCATTTGACTTGTCTGGAAACTTGTGGCAGGGATCACATAGGTCAGGCTAGATAATGAAACCTTTTGTGCCTACTTTGGATAAAAAGAATCAGTTTCGTCAAGATAAAATTCATAACTGTAATTAGGGATGTCTTTTCATTCTTCAATTAAGCCTTTTTGATCTGCACAATGTTGAAAAAGATAACAGTCTCCAAGCATAGAACTGGTCAGCTACTTGGAGGAAGTTGGCTTATCTAATGTTCTTACAGAATATTATGCAACTAACTGATATCTTTGATGGAAGACCATCTCCATAAGCATTCTTGTGACTTCTTCACACATCCATCAACTTCCATCGAAAATTCATCCTAATTTCTGCTCCATTTCCTTGCAGCATTCAATGTTGGAGATTCATTACTAGGGTTGGAGAGCACTAGCATGATACTAAACTATGCACTTTCAACCGGCTAAACAAGAGGTCATTCATATTATTTTTAGTTCAGGTCATTCCTGTTCTGCATCCACAGCAAGGCCTAATGTTTCTAAGTATCCACTCTAAGTTTGTAACTTGTCTTTATCTTTCTGACTTTATGCCTCTTGGTTGTTCAGTGGTAAAATAGGATCATCACAATTATACTTCTTTGTGTTTTTCTAACCAAAAAAAAAAAGGAGAAAATAGTCAATGGCTGTTGTATTATTGAACTCCATATGCCCCATTAAAATTGTAGTAGCATAACAGTATAATGTGCAAAGAACATTTTGTTTGTTAAAGGTTGTATTTATAACTTTTGATCTTCACTACACCTAATATTGTGATCATATGTGGCGTCCAATTGAAAAGTAAGGATAAAGGTGGAAGGAAACATAGCTAAAAAAAACTTATTTTGTACTCATAACAAGTATCCTACCTTTGTAGTGTACTATATTTTGGGACGAAGAGATTACGATGTTTACGGTGTTGCATTCTGATGATAGTATTTTTGCTCCTTAGGTGCTCATCAATTCAATATATTCTATTTGGTGATTTTGATTATTTGTCACAGGATCTTCTTTACACCCTTTGAAGTTCACAAAGGGAAGAAAATATGAAAGCTGTTATGATTTAAGTCATACGCTCAAATTAGTAAACAAAATCAGATGAATAAAAAAGACAAAGTTATAATCTCAAATTCTCAATTGAAGCATTAGAATTCAGGGTACTAAAAATAAGATGCTTAAAAACAAAAACCTCTGAGTAATTTACTTATTTATCCTGCTAATTTGGCATCCCTTCAATTATCAAAAAAATTCCTGCGATTTTCTAACACATTTCTTAACCCTCTTCGCGAATTCTTCCCGATTATCTCTCCACTGCTTCGCCGCATCGACGTTCGCCGCAGACTCGTCGTTAGGGTTCAACAGCATCGACACGATACTCACCATGATACTCTCCACCGTCTGCACCGGCAACCACCGCTCGACCGCGAGCTCGTAACCCGTCGGATCGTCGCCGGGAGGGTGAAGGATCGATATACAAACCCTCCCGTCCGGGTAAATATTCGGATGCCACATCTCCGACGTGAACTTCACCGTCGGCGGATTCACCGGATAATCTTTCGGGAAACTCATCTTGGCCTTGAAGAAAGCGCCGTCGTACATCGTCCCCGGAGATCCCAAAATCGTGATCTCCCACTCGAACACGTTATCCTCGTTCACCAAACCCGCCGAGAATCCTTCCACCGGATTCCTAGCCAGATCTCTCAGTTGCTTTTGCAATAGAAGGCTGGCTTGTGTCGCCGCCATTGATACCGATCAAACGATGACTATTGTTAAATTGACAAAAAGAAGAAAAGATTAATCGTAGCCTGGGAATCAAGCTATTGTTAAATTGACAAAAGATGACTTCGCAGTGGCTATATTTATAGGGAAAAAAAGGAAGCAAAATTAGAAAAGGAAGTGTTTTCCTGGTAAGATTCAGAGTTTTTCCATTAAAAGCGCGGGGGATTTGGGTAAAGAACAGTAAAACAATTCAAATTAATAAAAGGAGTATGACGTTAAAATATTTTGTATGAAAGGCAGTAGTTTATTCATCAAAAATACAAAATAAAAAATATTATGCAATGACAATGCCACCCTAATAATTTTTTACACACAAAGAATAAATAAATAATAAACCAAAAACCAAAATCCATCATAGAGATTAATGAAACTCAATTCAAAAATAAGAGAATAGAATTTATTTAAAAAAATAATTTAAACACAAAATCTAAAGGTTGTAAACACCAGGATTGCCATAGGAAGCAATGGGATTTTCACTGTGAATGCTTGAGTTATAAACCGAGCAGCTTCTCAAGTCCCAATTGCACCACCGTCTCAAATAATTATAAAGAACACATAAATAGATAAATAGAGGAGAGTTTCATAATTAAATAATAAAAAAATAAATATAGCAGCAGCTCCGAGGTAGCCGAAGAACGGTGCAGTTTCATCTCCGTCGAAGGTTGACAACATGGTGATAGAAATCTAATTTCGATCTGACGGGATTAGGAAGAATGAAGAGATAGAGGATTTGATTAAATCTGATTTTATTTTTTTTTTGGTTCATCCATTGTTTATTCATCTCTGGATTGGTCGATTGGGGGAAATGATGCTACTTTAGCTTTGATCTGGAGAGTGATTTATTTTATATATTTTATGATTTAAAAGGGTTTTTTAAAAAAGGGTAAATATGTCGTTATGAAATTATATTGATTTTATACGGATAAATAAACTACTGTTTTTTATAAAAATTATTTTAAAATTATACCTCTTTTATTAATTTAATTGCTATTCTATTATCTTTAGTCAAATTTTCCAAAAAAAAAAAAAAACATGTGAGTGAGTTTCCTATAAGTTTGGTGCCTTTTGGATTCGGATCAGACGTTTCACATTACTTATATAGTTTTAGACTTCAAAACAAATTCTCGTGCATAGTTTGCAATGAGTTAACAGAGTTTTACTATGTAGTACTTTTTCTGTCCGAAATTATTGTCCAATTTTAATTTTAATTTTTTTTGTACAAATTGAACAAAAAGTGAAAATATAAATTTAACAATAATTTTGATACAAAAAGAGTATTTTCTTACCGTCTTACCAAAATATTAGATAAATTACTATATTTTTTTATTAATAATACCTTTTTATCTCAAAAATAATAGTCCGCATTATAAAAAATTATACTAAAAGCGGTACAAATCTCGAAACTTGATGTAAATTTTTTTTTTAAGAGAAATATGGTCCAAAAAAATTAGTTAATATCGAATTTTGATTTTTTAATATAAATCCCAAAACTAAATGTGAGCTATTTTGTGAACTATACCTGTCGTTACTCCAATCTTCTTTCAATAACGAATAACTCAAACAAATTCAGTGGTCCTGACAATCCGAATTATGCCCTGCCTGCATGGCAAAATCAGGCAAAATATATCAACTGATCATTTGATACTTTTAAGAACCATTCTTTTGGTTTCCTAATCTAGAAATCCGCTGACAGTAATCATGCCATCGAGTTTTAGCGGTGTGAGTATCACAGTCTCAATCGCTCTTTCTTTACCTTCTTCTGATCCTCTTCCTCTAAATGAGGGATATATTGCTGCTTACACTATGACTGATACTCCTTCTGTACTGAAATTATCATCAAATTTGAATTTTTATTTCTAATATAAATTGAACTAAAAGTGAAAATCCAAATCAGATTATAATTTTGGGACAAATACAATATAATAATTAGTACTCTCTCCGTCCCATAATTATTGTCCAGTTTGAATTTTCATTTTTAGTTCAAATTGTACTAAAAGTGAAATCTCAAACTAGACAATAATTTTGGGACAGAGGGAGTATTATAATTGGAAGACCCGAGGTTCGATACTTTGATTACAACTTTACGAGCAAAGACTCTATCTTGTAGATCTCCAAAAGATCAATTTCGTCAAGGCGCAACCATTGTTCATCGTCTACCACGAGATCTTTAACATCCCTCCATTTGCTATCAACCTAAAGATTAAAAAAAAATGTTCATAATACTAAGGAAAGAAAAGGAAATGCGTGTGTATGTGTGAGAGAGATGTAAGGAAAGTAACAAAAACCTCTTGTTGATGATGTAAGTTCCTCTGATTCCTAAGGAGAAGTTCACAAAAAGTTTCAAGTTAAAACAGTGACATTTGGGAAAGACAATTACATAAAAATTTCAAACGTAGAAGAGAAATCAACACCCGTGGACTGACTATGCCACTACGGAAATTTGATGAGTAAATTGCAATTCCAACACTTTTATACTGCCAAAAACAAAAACAAAAAAAAAAAACAATAAATCGATTTACACCATGTAATCTCACTTTTTGAACATTGTCATGCTACAATTATTGAAAAAAAAGTGTTCATAAGTCATGACACCTCTTCATAATTAAATCACAAAAAAAAAAAAGACCAAGTTTCTATAGCACCGATTTATACATTAGATCAACAAAGCAGCAAACAACTTACTTCAGTCAAATAAAGGGCAAAATTCTTTGGCCAAAATCTAAAAGGAGAGCACCCAATTTGTGAAAGAATCAAACAGGCTTAATTGATTTGATTAGCCTGGTGTACTTTGAATATATAAAGTTGAAGTTTTACATGATAAGTACAATGAGGATAGAACTCCTAAAGAGATAAATGCACAAGAATTTCAAAAAACACTTATCATTAAAAACTAACTTTACAATTTCAAATATTGTATCTAACATTCCCCCTCAATCAGAACGTGGGGAATCCTGCACGTGAAGATTGTTCCGCAAAGTTTTGAATCGATGAGAAGTCAAGCCTTTTGTAAGCACATCAGCAATCTGTTGTTGAGTAGGAATGAACCGAACATGAAGAAAACCGGAAGCCACCCTTTCTCGGACAAAATGTAGGTCAATTTCTAGATGTTTGGTCCGAGAATGATACAAAGGATTGACAGTAAGATATATAGCACTGATGTTATCACAGAGAAGTAAAGGCGGGTCTTTCAACACAACATGAAGATCCTTAAGTAAATTCTGAATCCATAGCAATTCAGCAACTGTATGAGCAAGGGCCCGATATTCAGCTTCAATGCTCGATCGAGACACTGTTTGTTGTTTCTTGGAACTCCAAGAGATCAAATTATTGCCATAAAATATAGCATAGCCAGTTGTGGATCTTCTAGTGTCAGGGCAACCAGCCCAGTCAGCATCAGAGTAAGCAGTGAGAGTACCAGACGAGGATGATGATAACATCAAACCATGATTTATGGTGCCAGCAATGTACCGTAAAATTCTCTTTACCAAAGAAAGATGAGAAGATCTTGGAGCATGCATAAATTGACAGACCGTATTGACAGCAAAGGAGATGTCAGGCCTGGTAATAGTGAGATATTGAAGTGCTCCAAATAGGCTACGGTATTCAGTAGGATCAGCTAAAATGTCACCATCAGTAGATAAAGGTTTGGCACCACTAAAGGGAGTGCTCACAGGTTTGCAATGGAGTAAAGAAGCACGAGATAAGAGATCACGAGCGTATTTTGATTGAGTAAGAGAAAGACCCGATGATGTGTGAATAACTTGAATGCCAAGAAAGTAATTTAATTGACCAAGATCATTCATGGAGAATGTATTACGGAGATGAGAAATAAATGTGTCTAGAAGAGAGGAATCGGACCCTGTGAGAATAATATCATCTACATATAAAAGAAGAATAAGATAGGAATGAGAATGATGATAGGTGAACATGGATGTATCTGCCCGACTATTATGAAAGCCATAATTCAACAAGAATGAACTAAACCGAGAAAACCAAGCTCGCGGAGCTTGTTTGAGACCATAAATGGCTTTGTTGAGTTTACATACATGCTGTGGAAAATTAGGGTGAATAAAACCTTGCGGTTGAGACATATATACCTCCTCATTCAGAATACCATGTAGAAAAGCATTTTTAACGTCAAGCTGACGTAGGGACCAACCCCGAGAAATAGCAATAGAGAGGACCAAGCAAATGGTGGGTGGCCTAACGACAGGACTGAAAGTTTCATCAAAGTCAATACCACGTTGTTGGTTATAACCCTTTGCGACAAGTCTCGCTTTGCATCGCTCAAGAGAGCCATTAGAGTTTTGTTTGACACGATACACCCACTTACTGCCAATGACATGCATGTGAGGGCGATATGGAACAAGAGTCCAAGTTTGATTAGAAATGAGAGCATTGAATTCATCGGCCATGGCAGCACGCCAATGAGGTTCTTTAGATGCGGCTGAATATGAGGTGGGTTCAGATGGTAAAGGTTGAGAAGGAAGAGCAGCTAGTGCATATTTAGGATTAGGTTTGTGAATTCCAGCCTTAAGGCGAGTGAGCATAGGATGAGAGGATGAAAGTTCAGAATTGGTAGATGGAGTGACAGTAGGAGTAGGTGTATGTGTGGATGAACACGGACTTATTTGTAAGGAAGGAACAGGAAAAAGTGGACGACGACGCAAAGAAGACTGAGTTGAAGGATCAGGAGCTCAAAGGGATGATGTGAAGGGAAAGACATTTTTAACAAAATGAACACTGCGACTGATATAGACTCGCTGAGTCGAAAGGTGAAGACAACGGTAACCCTTTTGTTGAGAACTATAACCAAGAAAGGCACAAGGAGCTGACGGGGAATTTAATTTATGAGTTCTATAGGCTTGAAGATTAGGATAACATAAGCAACCGAAAGGTCGAAAAATAGTATAATCAGGAGGTCGATTGAACAAGACTTCAAAAGGTGATTGATGGTGAAGAACAGGAGTGGGGAGCCTATTGATTAAAAATACAGCAGTGGAAAAAGCTTCTACCCAAAGAGAATGAGATGCATTAGCATGATAAAGCATAGTACGGGCAACATCTGAAAGATGACGATGC